TAAAAGGGTGAAAAAGTTTACAGGACGGGAGGTTGCATTTTCCTGTTGTCATAATAAATTGTTTTTTTTTAATAATTTTTTTTACAGTATTAATTTTTTTAAATATAATTTGATTTTAAGATTGTTAATTAGAGAAAGCATATAAAGAATGTGTGTGTGTGTGTGTGTGTGTGTGTGTGTGTGTGTGTGTGTGTGTGTGGTTGTGTGTGTGTGTGTGTGTGTGTGGTAAGATTAAATTTAAAAAAAAATATAGAATAATATTATGTACTTTGTCCATCAAATCTTGTATGTAAATTTATATTTGGTTGACAAATATTTAGTCATTATCTTGAATTTCGTTGTGTTGAGTGTGGACAGGTCGAGGAGAGTTTCTTTTACAGTGTTGAGGTGGAAGGTTGCGCAGTCCTCGTAGCCCAGATCAGAACACAGCTTCTGCGAGTATAAACTGGTCATAACTCCAGCTGCCATTTGACACTCCCTTTCTTCACCCAGGTCATGACACTTCTGCAAGTAATAAATGATTATATTTCCCTTGTTTTTATTAGCAATTGAGAAAATTAGTAAATATAATATAAATTCCGTTTAGTTGTGTTGTAGTTATTGCTGTAAACATCATTTAAATTTACAAAACATTTTTAATTGTTTACTTTAACTCGTTGTCTTAATTAAAATCTTGGTTTCACAACGGCGAAAATTCAAGTGTGAAACCAAGCAAGAAAATATAAACATGAGGGAAGCTTACTTTAAGTAAGTGATAACCTAGTAAATACTGATATATGAGTATTTTCGTATTTTGTCATCGGCACAGAGCTTAAAATATAAATATTGAACTGGTCAACAGTATATTTAGTGGGGAGCTATACATGCAGAACCTCCTGCTGGCTTTAATATATATCAATATTCTCAAATTCCAATAGCATGTCAAATTTCAAATATAATTCTCCTCCATTCACTCTGATTCAACATAGTTACAAATACTCTAGTCCTTCTTTTACAAACAACATTTTACACTTTAATTTTTCTCTATCCTAGAATTTTATTTTACACACCAAAATAATTCCCCATAATTTTCAAATCATTCTTCTCCCATTTTATTTTTGATTTTTTTTCTCTCCTGAAAAATGCCTTTCCCAAAAGCAGGTTCTTTAAAGAAGTTCATGATGTAGTGTTTCCCCGCTCAACTACTCAAAAGTCTTTTCCAGGATATCTCTGCAACTGGAAGAGGCAGCTCCCCCAGATTTTCAAAACAGTCACAATGGAAAAACCCCGACACAGAGAAAATCATATGAAATTGTTCCACTATGTTTAAAACGAAAAGTGCAAAACTGGCTAAAGGGCTCCATATCGCCCCTTTCGGCTATTTAAATAACGAAGCTCGCACCTTTTTACACTTATTTCAAAAAAAACAGGAAAACCTGTTTACATTTTTGGACACCACAGTCTCCACTTCGGGGTTTAAAAGTAAAAATTTTACCAAAACCAAAACCACAATGATACACGAACAAATCCCTCCACAGTTATTGCCCGCAGAAGGGGAACTTGGGAAACCATGAACAAGGGTAGAAAAGGTTCAATAGGAACCCCTCAGCTACAGGGAAAGAGGGTACTACATTTGGGCTTCAAAAGGGCCGACACCTATTTACAATACAATCAAAGAGGGGGGGTGTTGCGTTTCGGGGAAAATCGGATCAACACAACGGGTCATAAAATAAGAAGGAGACCCGAGCATGGGGCAAATTTTTGTACTTAAGTTTTAAGGGGTTATGTGAAAGACTCAAAGGGAAACCAGACCCTGGGATCAGGTTTTTTCCAGAAACTCAATTGGATTGAAAAAAAAATCTCTACGCTTTTATGCCCTGGCTCTCCCCTGAGGGATGGGTAATGTGTTTGAAAAAATAGATTTTTGAAGAAACTATTTCAGAGAATTTTTATTGGAATTAAGTTTCCTGCAAAATATATACTACAACATATATTACATAATATATAATATAATATATAATAAAAAATATTTATATTATAATATATTAAAATAATTATATATATATATATTATATATATGCAAAAAAAACCACTTGAAAGAATAGAGAAAAATTTCCCAAACCTTTCGTGACTACTCACATTATCAAGGGAAATAGAAAGTAAAGCCCAAGGGAACTATTAAGGGGGCGGCCAGCACCTTTACTATCAACCCCCAAAACGTTAAAACCCGACGCCGCCGACCCAACTTGGGTATCCTTTTACCAAATCCCCCCAAATAATTTTACCCAAGAAAATTTTAAAAATTATTTGTCCCGTTTTAAAATTTTCCCAAATTTATTTAAAATAAAAAGGATCAAATTTAAATTTTAAAACCCAAAAGAAAAAATTCATATTTTTGTCAAAAACGCTTTTTATGAAAAAAAATTCAATTAATGCCGCACCATGGACTTGCTTGATACACTTTTAAAATTTTTGAAAACAATTGGATGGTTAAAAACCTTTCATAATAAAAAAAACTTGGAATCTTGTCCATTTTTAATGCAATTTATGTTTTTTTAATCTTTGTTTTGAGATTTTTACCAGTTTGACCATAATTACTTTACCGCCAAATTTTACAAGGAATTTATAGACAATCCATCAGCATTTGGGGAGGAATTCTTTATCAAAAGTTTTTTTACTGTATCAGATTTTTTGAAATTATCAACTTTAAATATTTAAAGTCTTAAAGAAAGAGAAGGCATATCAACCCAAGTTTCTGGTAAGGGAGAAAACAAAATTATTTTTAGTTGAATTAGGATGGTTGTCCCTTTTAGGATTGTAAAAAAAGTTTTCTAGCAACTTTTAGAAGAGTTATCAATACATTTCTTGGGTATTTTAATCATTACCTATTTCATTAATTTGGATATTTCCTCAAATCTATGAACTCAGGACTCAAATCGTAAGCTCTCAAAAACATTGATGAGAAAACAAACGTTTGACTCTAATCATGATGCGAGGACTAATAGTGGACATAGGATCAGTTTTTGTAGGTTTTCTGTATAATAAAATTTGGGAAGAATTTAATAATACACTGGACAATTAATTTTTAAATTTTCTTGGGTAGAAGAGTTTGTGGGTAGAGTTGTGCAAATTCCTTCCAAGTTGGGGTCGGCGCGCGTCCAGGTGTTTAAACCGTTGTTGGATCTGATAGTGAGGTGCTGGCCAGACCCTTATATAGCTTACTTGGATGCTTTACTTTCTTTGTTCCTTGATAATGTGAGTAGTCACGGAGAGCGTTGGAATTTCTCTATTCTTTCAGTGTGGTTGTTTTGTATTTATATATATATATTTATTTATATATATATATATATATATATATAAATATTATTTATATTATCTTTTATATTTATAGTATATATATATTTTATTATACAAAAAAAAAAAAAAACTGGGCGATTCCACAAGGCAGGTGGCCGATAAAGAAAACTTTCACCAATCATTCACTCCATCACTGTCTTGCCAGATGGGTGCTTTACAATTACAGTTTTTAAACTGCAACATTAACACCTCTTCAGAGTGCAGGCACTGTACTTCCCTTCCAGGACTCAAGTCCGGCCTGCGGTTTACCTGAACCCCTTCATAATGTTAACTTTGCTCACACTCCAACAGCCGTCAAGTATTAAAACATTTGGTCTCCATTCATTCCTAGCAAACACGCTCACGCATGCTGCTGGAAGTCCAAGCCCCTCGCACACAAACCTCCTTTACCCCTCCCTCCAACTTTTCCTAGGCCGACCCCTACCCCGCCTTCTTCCACTACTAGCTGATACACTCTTGGAAGTCACTCTGCTTCGCTAAATTCTCTCTACAATCCAATAACCTTCTCGCCCTCTGGACAACAGGTATTTGTTAATCATGCACCTCCTCCTAACTATCCAAACTACGAATTCTCTGCATTATATTCACAACACACATTGCTCTCGACTTGACATCTCCACTGCTCAGCCTCCTTTACTCCGCTGAAAACATTCATCACCCATGTCTTCACACCCTTATAGAGCGTTGGTAATACTTACGCTCATACATTTCCCTCTTTGCCTCCTACGGACAAGTTCTTTGTCTCACAGACTCCTAAGTGCTCACATCACCCTTTTCCTGATCAAATTCTTTGATTCACCTCATCTTTCATAGACCTATCCGCAACACGTTCACTCCCAAAATATTGAATACATTCACCTCCTCCATACTCTTCTCCCTCCAAATCTGATTTTCATCTTTCATCACATAATCTTTTTTATCCACATAACATTACTCTTTCCTGTTTTTTACTTTTATTTTTCTTTTGTTGCACACCTACCAAATCACCACCAGTTATGCAACTTCTCTTCTGATTCTCAAAGAGCACTAGTGTCAGCTGCAAAGAGCAACTGTGACAACTCCCACCTTATATTGTGATTCTTTATCTTATAACTGCCACGCTTTTGCCAAGACTAGCATTTACTTTCTTACAACCCCATCTATAATATATTAACAACCAAGGTGACGTCACAACATCCTTGTTCTAAGGCTACTTTTACTGGGAAATAATTTCCCTATTTCCTACATACTCTAACTTGAGCCTCATTATCCTCTAAAACTCTTCACTGCTTTCAGTAACCTACCTCCTACACATACCACCTGCAACATCTGCCACATTGCCCCCTATTCCAACCCTGTCATACGCCTTTTCCATAATCCATAATGCACAAAGTCCTCTTTAGCCGTATTTTTTCTACTACTGTCCTTATATGTTGCACTGTAATACACCTGGTCCACACACCCCTACCTTTCTAAAGCCTCCTTGTTCATTGCTATCTATTCTCCGTCTACTCTTAATTCTTTCAATTAATAACTCTACCATACACTTTACCAGGTATTCTACAGACTTATCCCCTATAATTTTTGCACTCTCTTTGTCCCTTTGCCTTTTACCAAGGAACTATGCCTGTCTCTGCCATTCCCTATGTACCTTACATTCTTCATACATTTTATTAAATAATTGCACCAACCATTCCAAAACTGTATCCCCACCTGCTTTTAACATGGTCTATCTTTATCCAATAATCGGCCAGCCTTACCCCCTGTCATTTCCTACTGCCTCACGAAACTTCCCCAACACTCTCGACGGGCTCTTCCCACTCCTACAAGATGATAGTCCTCATTGCCCTATACACGACATCACAGCTTCCTATCTTCAAAACATTTTACAATTCCTCAAAATATTACCTTCCATCTTCCCAATACCACTCTATCTTCTCCTTTTATAAACTTCTCCTCTCCTATTTTTAACTGACATAATCCATGTGTTCTTAGGATCCTTAACTGTTAATATCATCCAAATTTTTCTTATTTTCATCAAAATTTGTTGATAACATCTCACTCACGCTCTCATTTGCTATTTTTACATTGCTTCCCACTTCTTAATCTCTCTCTTTTTTCTCCTATACTCTCCCTCTTGCATCACTTCTACTTTGTAAAAACTTCTCATATGCTAACTTTTCCTCCCT